GCTTTCCAACGATAGGCTACACGCCAATATTCAATAAGAAACGCAAAAGTTATGTCTTATCAAAGTTGATGACTTTTGCTGACGCTACGCGCGCCCGATCGGGCGAGCTCTACCCGATCGAATACGAGTGCAGTTCCAGCGTGAATGAAGCCTTCTCTAGCCCAAAATCTTCACAAAAACAAACTCCCACAAGAATAAGTTACACTCTCCTTACCTCTCTAAGAAACAAAAAACAAAAGCACACAAAAATAAAGAAAAAAATATAATTAAAATAAAATACAGTTTGCCTCCCGCAAAGCGCTAGTTTATCAAGGTCCCGCTCGACCATACTCCTTGTCTCAATCGGAAGAATTAAATCCCTTGAGTAACTTATCAAATGCTCCTGCAAACATTTCATTAAGCACTAGATAGAGCTTAATTGCAAGCACATTATTACTTACAAAGAAAAGGTTAGGAGCACATAAAGAGAACTCAAGGTAGAAGGAAAAATCAAAAGAGAGAGATGAAAATATACCACAACCTTCTACTTCCTCCGTTAAAAATTTAGAATTAATAGAACGAACATGGAGGTAGTCCTTGTCTTTATCATCCAATAATGACTTGAAAATTTCACCCTTACGAATAAACTCATCAACAACAAAGGAATTTTCAACCACCGTTTTTACAACTAATAATTTTTCAATCACCGATTCGTCAACCAATAATTTTTCAACCTCAAATTCTATAACCGATGGTTCTTCATCCTCAATAAAATTCGTATTATTATAGTGTCCATAGACTTTTTCATCAAGAGCCTTCCAATAACTTTCATTAGCAACTAATTGTTTCCGAATATGATCATATGTAAATTGAAAGACTCTAAAATCATCAGCAGCACGCACAGAAAACTCACTATAAGGGCATTCAAGGTTTTCATGAAAAAAACGATAGTGACAACAATAGTATTCAAGTGCTACATAAAAATCATATAATTTTTGTAGTGGCGTAAGCATGGATATTTTAAATTCATAAAGAATAATAAGGAAAAATAATAATAATGATAATCTAGACTCCAATAATAATTAGAAACAAAAAATAAAACCATTCCCCAGGTAACGACACCAAATGTTGACAAGCTAAAGTCGTATCACCCAATCAAAAGTAATTCCTAAATCCTCTAACTAATGCAGATAGGGAAGTAGGGTCGAATCCACAGGAAAACTGGTCTTTCTATTCCTAATTAATTAAAACAATCTAAATTATTAAGTAACAAATTAATATCAATTGAAGGGAAAATAAACTACTAAGATTAAGGGTAAAGAGAAAATGAAGGAATAAAGGCCTAGGGCATAGGTTCACTAATAAATAACATTCCAGGGTAAAACACAATAATCAATCATCAATGCATCAATTAACCAGATCATAAAGGGCTTTCACTACGTAATATAATCACAGAATAAATCTACCGGTATTAAGTATCATCTCTCAAATCTCGACTTAACCATTTATAAATTAACCTGCCTATTGAAACTAAGCCTAAACATCAATTCTCATCTCTCGAATCTCGAATCAATATTTCTAAACTCATATATAAATGATCTGCGCAAATCTAGTTGCATAACATTAAATCAATCAATAATAAATTAATCAAGCATTGATAATCAACAACAATAAATTACCCCTTCTTATTATTTATGGATCCCCAAAAACCCTAGAAAGAAAAATACTCACACATAATTATAATAAACTAATCAAAGCGATTAAAGAAAGAATGATGAAAAGCAAGAATTAAGATAAAGAGAGATAAAGCTTAAAACTAAATGTAAGAGTTAATTACGGAGATAGAGAGAGAAAGAGTAAAGAAAAAAAACACTAAAACTAAAAAGAAAAGAAATCTAAAACTACCTAAAAACTAATAAAAACTTGCCTAGCACGTACTACTACTACCTCCTTTATAAGAAAGGAAAAAAAAGTTGATACCAAGTCAACTTCTAATCCTACCCAAACTCCTCACAAAAATAAATCTCCAGCTAAATAAAAACAAAGCCCAACTCATGGTGAAACACTGAAACCACTCCAACGACCTTTAAATTCAAGGCCCGATCTGACATGGCCCGCCTGATCGGACCCGGATGACTGGCAGTAGTGGAGCTCTTTGCTGGGCTCTTAGACTCATCGTTTGTTATTGTAAGGTCGGGCCTTTAATTTTTATCCACATTTAAGCTTTGTCCTTAAATATGATCCATGACTACAAACTTTAATTTGTAGTTCGTAGATTTCTCCAAATTTAGCTCTTAATCATCTAATTAAATTACTCTAAATCGATCTCGGGCAAATAAAATCTGGTCATAAAATACGGTCCGACTCCAATGTCTTTGTAGTGGCTCAATAAGTCGGGAATTTTCATAAATCTGCAAATTCCTACAAAATAATACCAACTCTACAAAAACACTAGAAAACATACATTGGTAACAAAAATAGCTCCGCAGAGCTCAAATAAGCACAAATATGACTGTGGGACGGGGAATAAATATAAATATATAATAGACTCATCAGTTACCAACCATATATTTCTACAATCTTCGAAGTAGCTTGACCTTGGCGATAGCTTACACCTACTTATTCCTTTGGGTTCGACCCTTGACTTACCATATACTTGTATTAGTTTGGTCGAGTGTTTATAAATTTAGTTAAGCTCTAGGAAAGGGTTGAAAACGACCTACATTTTCCTTGCGTCAAAATAGCGCCATTGCCGGGGGATGATTTTGGTGCTTTGTTATAGTTGTTGTGTATATTTCATCCTTAATTGGAAAAACATTTTTCTTTTTAGGCTACACTTGTAGCCGTGATACTAATCATTTCTTTTGAGATTGTATGCATAGAGAACGTGGTCATTCACTAGTTCCATTTGATCCGGGGATTGAGAGGACTATTTCAAGGTTAAGGGTTGCTAGACAATCTTTGAGTTCTAGCGCTTCAGGTGAAGAAGAACCACAACAAGAAGAACAAGAAAGAATGGGAGAAAATCCAAGAGTGGTGTTGAAAGAATTGGGGATTCCCGGTGCATATAGATTTGACAGTGGTATTGCTCCACCTACAACATCGGCGAATGATTTTGAAATAAGGCTGACAATGATCACTTTGATAGAGAGGCGACAATTTAGTGGGGCCAAGCATGAAAGCCCACTAAATCATCTCAAGGAGTTCGAAAAATATTGTAATACTATCAAGGTGAATGGAATTTCCCAAGAATTCATTTGCCTCAAGCTCTTTCCCTTTTCCCTCATAGGGCGTGCCTTGGAATAGCTAGACAAGGAGGTCAAGATGAATTCTCTAAGGACATGGGATGAAGTGACTAAGGAGTTTCTATCCAGTTTCTATCCACAAAAGAAAACGGCGGAGGCTAGAGCTTTGATCAAGGGTTTAAAACAAAAGCCTAGTGAGAGCCTCTATGAAGCATGGGAGAGATACAAAGAGTATCAAAGAGAATGTCCTCATCACAGAATTCCTACTTACCAAATTATTCAAATATTCTATGGAGGCCTTAGTCCTCAAGGGAAGTCATGTCTAGATGGAGGAGCCGGAGGTCCCATCATTAATAAAACGAAAGAGGAAGTGGTAGACATAATTAAATACGTAGTGAGATACTATAGAGATTGGAAAGATGGAGAAAGGGAGTCAACTAGACAGAGTAGCTCTTCGGTGTACTCGGTTGATCATCTAAATGCAATCAACAATCTCTCCTCACAAATGACAAACTTGGGGAAGGAAATGCCCGCTATCAAGGCAAAGTTGGAAAGTTCTACCTCCCAAGTCTCAAGTCTTCCCTCCCAATCTAAGGGGAGGGGTATGAATTCTAATCCTCGACCCTCTCCTTCTTCTAGTAACATGCCTAGTGGATGCTTGTTTTGTGATTTTTGTGGATCGTATGATCATGATGCTTCTAATTTCCCTCATGCGTGTATGGATGTTAGTGATGATTAAGATGAAAATATGAATGACCATGTGAACTATGTGTCAAACAATAATGATTCTAGGTTTGAGAATCAAAGAGGCTCATGGAATAGGACTTACAAAAATCATGGCAATTTTGACAACTACAACCAAGGTAGTGGTAATAGGAACCATGGGAACCAAAATTCCCGAGGTAACTATAACAACCAAGGTTATAGCAAAAATAGAAACCAAAATTATTGTAATCATAACCAAGATTATGGTAACCATAATCAAGGTAGAGGTAATTAGAACAATCAAAATAGGGGAAATTTTTAAAATAACTCTCAAAGGGGTCTTCCACCCGGATTTGCTCCAAAGACCCAAAATGATAATTCTTATGTTCAATCCTCTTCTTCTTCTTCTAGGATTAATTTTGAAGAAATCATTGAAAATCAAACAAAGTTGTTGAACACTTACATGGCCTTAAGTGACAAGAAATGTAATGAAATGATGACTCATAATAAGTTGCTTGAAAACAAAATTTCTCAACTTGCCAATGCTTTTAAAGACCATGCTAGTCCTTCTTCTTTACCTTCCCAAGGCCTAGATCCCAAGAGACCAGTCAATGTTATTGTTACAAGGAGTGGTAAGGTTTTTGAGGAGAGTTTTCCTAGGAAGAGTGAGACCAATGAGGCTACAAAAGAGGTTTTGGTAGAAGATTAGAGAGACGGTGCATCTTTGAGTGAGGTTGAGATTGACAAACCTAGTGAGGTGAGCGTGGAGAAAGAAATTGTGAAACCCAAACTTCCTTATCCACAAAAATTCACGAGACACAAGTTGGATGAACAATTTAAAAGATTTATTGGCATGCTTAAGCAACTTCACCTTTCTCTACCATTTACCAAAGTTGTCACCCAAATGCCCAACAACGCAAAACTCCTCAAAGACATTTTGAGAGGTAGAAGGACTTGTAATGTTGTAGAGAAGGTGAACTTCACCGAGAACGGTAGTGCAACTATAATGAACAAGATGCCACCTAAGCTAAAGACCTCGGAAACTTTTCCATCTTTTGTGCCATTTACAAAATGCAAATCGAGAATGCCTTATGGGACCTAGGTGCTATTGTTAGCCTTATGCCATATTCGGTATACCAAAGACTTGAGCTAAGGGAACTCTTACCTACTAACATCACCTTGCAATTGGTCGATAGGTCAATTAAGTTACCTAAGGGTAAGGTTGAGGTTGTCCCTTTGAGGGTTGGAAAATTTGTTATTTTGGTGGATTTTGTGGTGATTGAGATGGACGAAGATGCTAGCATTCCTATCACTGTAGGGAGACCATTCCTTGCTAAATTGGGTGCCATGATAAATGTGAAGAGTGCTAAAATTTCACTCAATTTTAGGGGATTAGGTGATAGAATTTGACTTGAATGATAGTATGAAGTATCCAAGTTATTCTTTAGAAAATTGCATGTTCATTGATTCTCTTGATCATGCTGTGTCTTCCATGCATGAGAAATTTCTCACTTCTAACTATGCTCTTGAGAATGTTTTGTTGAATAAGGAAATGATAGGTACTCCTAGCAAGGAGATGGTTTTGTATGAAGATGTGCTCAACGGAGGCCTTGAGGGGATGTTTAAGAGAAAATGTGTATGAGAATTTCTAGACAAGAAGCATTGCAAGTGGCAACATCAAAGGAAGGTAAATGTGTTCCAATGGTTGAGCTTAAACCTCTTCCATCACACTTTAGGTATGAATTCTTAGGACCCATCTCTACTTTTCCCGTGATTGTTAGCACTTCCTTGAGTGAGCGCCAAGCTCAAGAGCTGTGTGGTGTTTTGAGAAAGCAATAAGGTGCTTGGTTATACCATTGATGACCTCAAAGGTATAAGTTTCGCTTTATATACACATCACATAACCCTTGAGGAGGGTGCTCTACCTTCTATTGAGAGGCAATGAAAGCTACATCACCAAATAGGAGAGGTAGTGAAGAAGGAGATCACCAAACTTTTGGATGTGGTAATTATATTCCCCATCTCGAGTTCTAAGTGGGTTGCCCCAAAGAAGGGAGGCATGATCGTCGTCGAGAATGAAAGAGGTGAGCTACATCCAACGAGGATGGTCACGGGATGGAGGATGTGTATATACTATAAACGTCTAAACACATCTACAAAGAAATATCACTTCCCCCTTCATTTATTGATCAAATGATTGAGAGACTAACGAGGCACAATATCTATTGTTTTCTTGATGGTTTTTCGGGATTTTTCCAAATCCATATCCACCCGGATGACCAAGAGAAAACAACCTTCACTTGTCCATATAGTACATTTGCCTATAGGAGAATTCCGTTTGTCTTTTGTAATGATCCCATAGCATTTCAAAGATGCATGATGAGTATATATGGAGATATGTTGGAGGAGGATATGGAGGTGTTTATGGACGATTTCTCCGTAGGAGGTGTTTCATTCGTGGCATGCCTTGAAAACCTTGAGAAATTTCTAGCAAGGTGTGAGAAGGTGAACTTGGTTTTGAATTGGGAGAAGTGTCAATTCATGGTGGAGGAAGGCATAGTCCTAGGCCATAAGATTTCTCACAAGGGGGTAGAGGTGGATAAAGAAAAAATTGAGGTTATTGAGAAGCTTCCACCTCCGGTCAATGTGAAAGGAGTGAGATCTTTTTTAGGACATGCCAGGTTTTATAGAAGATTCATCAAGGATTTCTCGCTCATTGAAAAGAACTTCAATGATCTTCTTCACAAGGATGCCAAGTTCATATTTGATGATAAGTGTTTGGACGCATTCAATAAGTTGAAGAAAGCTCTAATCTCTACTCCTATTTCTCAATTCCTAAGATGGGATTTACCTTTTGAGTTGATACGTGATGCGAGCGATTCGGCAATTGGAGGTGTCTTGGGTCAAAGAGTGGAAAAGAAGCTCTATGTGATCTACTATATGTCCAAGACTCTAAATGGTACTCAACGAAATTACACCACAACGATAAAGGAATTTTTGGCTATTGTTCATGCTTTTGAGAGGTTCCGTTGTTATTTGTTGGGTTCCAAGACCATTGTCTTCATGAATCATGAGGCTCTCAAGTACCTTTTTTCTAAAAAAGAGTCCAAGCCTAGGTTGATCCGGTGGGTACTTGAACCTCAAACTTTTAACATTGAGATTAGGGATAAGAGAGGAGCAGAAATGTTGTGGCAGACCATCTCTCTCTCCTTGAGGATTCTCAAATTCATGATGATGGTTCTCCAATTGAGGATAGAATGCTTGATGACTTCTTTTATGCTATTGAGGAAAAAGATCTCCCATGGTTCGCCGACTTAGTGAACTTTCTTGCATGTGGGCAAATTCCACCTTCCTTTTCTAAGAATCAACGAAAAAAGGTTAAGAGAGAGGCAAGACACTATGAGTGGGATTATCCCATCTTGTACAAGCGAGGAGTCGATGGCTTACTTAGGCGTTGTGTTCCAAATGAAGAGGTGCCTAGTGTTTTGAAGATGTGCCACTAGGATCCTAGTGGTGGCCATATGTGTGTTTCTAAAACTGCCACCAAGATTCTTCAAAGTGGTTTATGGTGGCCACATCTCTTCAAGGATTCATGGGGTTTTTGTTAAGACATGCGACCGTTCTCAATGAGTTGGGAATATCTCCAAGAGAAATGAGATGCCTCAACAACCTATACTTGAGTTGGAAGTATTTGATGTGTGGGTGTAAGTAGGGTGTTCCCATCATAGGGGATCTTTCTTCTTAGATGCCCATTACTCTTTAGAAGCCTAGGACTTTACACTTTTTAGGGTGTATTAGGATTTGATTTCCTGACTGTTTGGGGGACCTTGAATTAGAATTGATTCTATCATTACGTTTTTTTTTTGGTAAGAAACAAGTAGGAGTCGCCATTGAGTTTTAGGAAAACTCATAAACCTCATTCATGCCTTTCTCCCATGTGGAGTTCATGGGATAATTAGCACAAATCGTAAGTTTACCCATGCCCAAATTGGTCTACATAAACCAGAAATGAGTTCCGGAGCGAGGGTACTAAGATAACGTTCCCTTTAGAGGGGAATCGCTATGCTAGACCTAGTGCGGCCTCTACTAGCTCTTCCTTTTTTCACAATTTCATCACCAAAAAATATATGCAACGTGATACCTAAAAACTAAGTTAGTCGATTTTATTTACATGCATCAATCTCGTAGGAATGACATAACAAAGTCGTTATTCTTTATTTAATTTCAAATTCGTGAAAGGAGAAAAAATAAACAAGATTTGTCTTGGTTTAAGTGATCAATCAATTGAAAGGAATAATGTCCTTCGAACAAGTGTATTATTCTGATAGTGGGTTTAGTATTATTCGAAAGCTAATATATTCAGTAAGGTCAAGTGATCGGAACGCCTAGGTGGAGGCCGCTTCCGATCAGTAATATTAATTATACAGCTTAATCTTGACTGAACCATTCGAGTCACACCCAAGAAACCAACGAGCTGAAGCGATGAATTAATTCGGAAGGAATTAATGAGTCGACCGAGTAATATTTATTTAGACGTCGGAAATTCAAGCTTAGCGCGTCGAAACCGAACGTCGGAAGTCGAGTCGAAAATAGTAAAGATGAGACGTGCAAATAGTAATAAATCAACGTATTTCCCAAAATACCCCTAGCATCGGAGTGCCCAGTGCAATCCGAGTGCTAGGGGCACGATGAGTAGCATGGTGGCTAGCATGCGCACCAAGCCGAGCCTTAGCTGGCTGGTGCGTGATAGCGCACTAATGGTAGAAGCCAAGGCAAGCCTCGGCAGCAGCACGCACTTGGAGTGCGCGACATGCTGGCCGAGAGTAGCAGCAGCCCGTAACTCATAGGTGCGGGTGTCTGGGCCAAGACTAAGGGAGGAACAAAGGGAAGCCCACTTGGGTGCCTTGATGCCTAAGTGGGAGTGGACATGTGGCGCAAGGTGAGGGAGTGAGTGGGGAGCAAGTTTTGTCCCCCCTCTCCAAGTGGTCCTCACTTGCTCTCTCATGTATAGTTGACAGTTGTTGATTTATTACTAGCTTGCTTAAATAATTTTATTTTACCTTTAAAATGAAATGTGAAAATCTCACTATCCCACATTGATGGGAGTGACAATCATACTCTCATCATTTCCTATAAATACCCAAGTAAGGGCATTGGAATTGATGCTTGAGTAAGAGTTGGAAAAGGGATCACTAGTAGTGAAAACCTTTGAACTCAAGAGTTGGAAAAGGTATCACATTTTGTGAAAGCCTTTGAACTCAATTACTAGGGTTTGTCGGTCGGGTCTTGATAACCCCAAGACATTGGACCTAGTTGGTGATCGTTGTTGCGGGTGGATCATCGTTAGAGGCTTCGTAATTTTGAAACTAGCTTTCAAGTAAGAGCCCAAGTGGTCGGGCGAAGCACGCTCCAAAAGTTAATCTTATTATCTTAATCTTGTTTTTAAGTTAATCATGTTTATGGCTTTATTTATTGCGAGTGCGGTATGTTTTTGGGTTTGTTTCCGCGGTGAGTCGGACTCACCAAACCTGAATCATTTGACAAGTTCAAGAATTTCAGAGTGAAGTGGAAAATCAGATTGGCAAGAAAATCAAAGCCCTTCGATCGGATCGAGGTGGTGAATACTTGAGCCAAGAATTTGATGACCATCTGAAGGATCATGGTATACTTTAAGAGCTGACACCTCCAGGAACTCCACAATGGAACGGAGTATTCGAACGGCCAAATCGAACCTTGTTAGACATGGTACGATCAACCATGGGTCTTAGTGATCTTCCTATCCCTTTCTGGGGACACACACTTTTAATTGCGACACTAACACTGAACCGTGCTCCATCAAAAGTTGTAGAAAAGACTCCTTATGAATTATGGATGAACAAACCTCCTAGGTTGACTTTTCTAAGATATGGGGATGCAAAGCATATGTCAAGAAATTGATTTCTTACAAACTTCATCCCAAATCTGATAGGAAAAATTAAAAATATTAATCCAAACTTTCACTAATTTATGTAAAATAATCCCAACTTTCGTTAATACTGGAATAATCCAAACTTTACGGGGTCTTGAATTTCTTCAATCCCTACAGGTCACTTAACCTTCAAATGCAGGTAAAAGTCCTACGTGGCATTGATTTTGTTTATTTCTTTATTTTTTTATTTTTTTATTTGTTTACTTTTATTTTTATTATTTTACTTTGCTTTTCCAATTTTGTCCACCTTTATTAAAGACCTTTCCCCATTTTAACGGTTAGAAATCTTTTCCCCTTTCTCTTCTTTTTCTCTTCTGTTGCCCTGTTCCAGTTGCAAAGCAAATTCTGCGGTGTGGTAGGTCGTTTCAAGGTGGTTCATGTGGTTCGTATGCAAACTCAAGGGGTGGAGGAGGTTGTTATTCAACAACTAAGTGTAGTTGCGGGTTGGATGCGGTGGTGCGAACTGTCAAGAAGGGGCATAACATTGGTTCGAAGTTTTATGGTTGTCCTAAATGGCCGGTATTTTCCTAATTATTAAGGAATTTGAATTGTTTGGAGTTGTAATGTGTTCTAAATTGAGTGTGATTATAGTATTGGAAAAATACAGACATTGAAGAATTTTTAATTTAATTTGGGGTTTTGTGCAGGATACAAATTGCAATTTCATGAAATGG